TTTGCCAGGGGTTTCCCAGCTTGATTCGGTCAAGCTTATGGTGGCCATGGATTTGATGAAAGGTATCACAAATTTCATTTGTTCTTCACAATAACTTCACAGTACCACGAACTTCATTTCTTTTATGCTTTTTTAAGAATTTTTTTGGGAAACTCTGTCAAAAAACTTGGAAAGATCGATATACTGATAGATTTTTTTGATTAATCTCTAAGGCCCCGTCAAAACTGAAAATGCTAATAGGTTAGTAGCAGGTACATGCTCTTCCAGGGCTAGCTTGGCTGAACTCTCCTTGTATTTTTTTACATCTTATTTCCCTTTTTTACATCCTCCTGCCTGCTTTTGAAATTACCATAGAAGATGTGCATGCGAGAACATTTGTTTCGAAAAGAGTCAACAATTTTTTTAAGAATTTGGGAATTTTCTGAAAGAAAAGATTCGTAATTCTTGAACGGCAAAAAGTAGCAGCAAGGAAATTCTTTTCAAAACCATCTTGTCCTCCGCGTTCAAAAAATATTTAGGCCCGTAGTAAAGTTCGATTAGTTCAGTTGAACTTAACTTAACACATCAGTTCACCTTACGTCAGGTGAACTGATGATTGCCCGCCTTCCCATGGTATAAGCATGGCGAGTGAATTGATAGTTGACGGAACAGCTGAAGAACAGCTAGCTTGGACAGCTGATTTTGGCGAGGAAAACAGAAAAGAACAAATTCTTCTCTTTTTTGTAAACTTCACTGTTTTTTTTTTGAAGTTGTCCAAAATGAAAACTCATTTGTTCATTTCAATAAATTCACGCTGCAATCATTTCGTTTTTTAATGAAATTCTCGTCACAAAATGTGTTTTTGTTTTATCCGTGCATTGCTAGGCGAAGTCCTCAATAGCGGTCATGATCGATTACGATAGTGGCCGCTATCAAAGATTGCCCGACGATGCAGCAAAAGTTGTGTCGCTAGGCGGAGTCGAACCACGGCCCCGCGTGTCTAATTCCAATTACTTACCCGTTCGACCAAACCAGCTCAATTAGCCACTTTTTCAAGAATGCACTTGATTATAATGTCCAGGAAGTGATCCGCATCCAGATCAATAGCTCGCCAGATGCTAGACTGAGGCGCGATGAGAACCCCCGATCCGCATCAAGAGAGATGCCCTGATAAGGGGTTTACTACGGGCCATAGTTTGCCTGGAGTCTGTTGAAATAAGTGTCTGGTGAAGGGTATGGGTAGTGATTTCTGATATTTACGAAATTTTAAGATAAAAAATCCGTAACTACTGTAGATGAACAACTTGTACAAGGAGATAGTCACCATCGGAACCGCCTCGTTCTCCGCTTTCAGAAAATATATAGCATGTCTGAGATCCGTCCAAAAAAGTGCCTGGTTGAAGGGTGTGCTTAGTGATTTCTGGAGATTTTTGAGTTCTTGAAATAAAAAATTCATAACTTCTGTAGATAAACAATTTGTACAAGGAAATAGTCAAAGTCGAAACCGCCTCATCCTCCGCTTACAGAAGATATATAGTTTGCCTGGAGTTCGTTGAAAAAAGTGCTGGTGAAGGGTGGGTTAGGCTCTTATAATGGGAGTTCTCAGGTGAAGGCTTTCTTACCATTGTAAAAGAACGTCTAGTTGAGAACTCCCATTATAAGAGTCTTACTACCCTTCACCTGGCACTTTTTTAAAGGACCCTAGCCAACCTATATATTTTCTGAAAGCGGAGGACGGTGACTATTTCCTTGTACAAGATGTTCATCTACAAAAGTTAGGAATTTTTTATGTCAAAAAATCGAAAATCTCCAAAAATCACTACGCACACCTTTCACTAGGCAATTCTATAAACGGAGTCTAGGCAAATTGTTAATTCTCTGAAACCAGACGGGAACGTTGTACCACGGAACTTTCCTCGATGACGTTGCTGTGCAGCTACAGAAGCTACTATTTTTTTCCTCCTGGTTCGTGAATGCCTATAAATAAATAATACCTATAAATCTTCTCCCTCCTTTCCGATACACAAACAATTCCCGTACAAATATCTCCATTGCTCAACCTTAGCTCACTGTTGATATTTTTCTCGGCTTTTGGTGAAGGGGTCACCTTGGTCCCGGTTCAGGGTGAAGGGGGTGGGGGTGAGCAAATTCTCTTAGTATCGCATTTATGATTCAATTACGAATATTTGAAAATATTCTGTTCTAACTGTACTAGGTATGGTCACTGTGATGGAACTGCTCTACAAATGTCAGATATTCCTTTCAGGGCCCGGCACAGATCGTCTGGAAGCAGGTTGGACTTCGTTTTTGGAGCAAAAAGCGAAGGAGATGTCGTTTTTGACGAATCGAGGTCGAGCACTAAGAATAAGCGCCATTTAGTCGAACACAAGTTCTGGCTCTGGGTCAGGAATCACACCGCTCGCGGTGGCCGCTCGCCGCGCCCAAATTTTGTGCTCACAAAAACTCTCCGGTGCTAAAGTGGCACGGCGCCACAGTAGGGAGGTGGGGGTGGCGGCAGATACATGACTCGATGGCACAAGTAACATTGCGACAGGAGTACTAGCGGAATCTGAGTCTTGTACTGCTTGACGTCGCGTTGCGGCGTCGCTTCGCAAAAAATCGTAACTCCTGACCCGTAGCCAAATTTTTCGGACAGGTTATCACGCGATGACATGCTCTATCGTGTGTGGCGAAAAGTGCGCGCGATTTGAAAGCAGGGCTAAAATAAACAACTTGCTTGTTTACGGCGCACACAGAATCATATGACACTAAAACTGCACTGTATATACATAGAACATTATTTGCAAAAGAGTTATGTAAAAAGATTTGAAAACTTATGTGAAGTGTTACCCTTTCCAAAATTAGATCGTCTCCAGACGGTCATCAGACGATCTGAGATCGTTTCGAGCATATATTTCTGTCACTTCACATAAGTTTTGGATTTCTATTATGGACTGATTTCCCGGTCAAAAATCTATCCCTGAGCATGAAGACATTTTTATATTATTGCCTTTCCTTTGTTTTATGCGTTGATTTCTTCATAAATCGCTTTGTTGAATAACGCGCTCCAACGCCAAACTCTTGAGCATGCGCAGTATCAGCTCCAGTTTGGATTTTCAGTTTTATCTCATGTTTTTTCTTTCAGATTATAAATTTTTCTTATTTTCATCTTCTCCTAAGTAGGTAGGTCAAAGAGGACTTCGTAAAACTTCCGAAAGTCAGGGGAGACTTCGTTTTCAGAAACCCTAGAAACCGACTCGTGCCGGGCTCTGATTCCTTTTGTTTCCTGAATGTCAAAAAATTGCAATCGACTTGAAGACTGCAATCTACCGAAGCCATTTAAGACAATTTAGGACAAATCCTCAAAGAAAATATATTCTAGCTCTTTTTCTCCGCCTAAAAAATTTTGAGTGATGTTTATTGCATGCATCATAATCACTTAATAGCGTGAGACAATGCTTTTTCTTTTTCTACATTGATCAGAACAGAAAGATCCAAAAATATTGCCGAAAAACGGCGATAATTTTTCATGTTTACACATTACATAAGAGATGCTACAAAGGCAAAACATTTTATCCTTTTTCCCATCGTTACAGTAGAATATCTCTCCTGTTAGCCTAGTGCTTCTGAAGTAGAGTGTTTCAAATTAAGAAAGTTGAACAGAGGGCGACGAGACGAAGATCTTCTGTATCATCGGGTTGGTGAGTGCCTCCATAGCTAGCAAATTGGCGACTCGTATAGTGCCATAGCGGTACCGACGGAAATGGGCGTGAATAAAAAATTCTATGCTCGTATGCGCACAATTTGCGCTGAAATGGACATGGAACTCAAAATTTGCCAAGATTTTGGTTTTTTTTTCAAGCAATACCGGCGGCACTCCATCATGGGCTGTCAAATCTGACTTCTCTATTTAATTTTGGCATAGAATATTACGGGTGCTCCTCGTGGCCTTTATGCAAATGGCTGGTAACATATTCGTCTTTTACTTTACGGCACATTAGATATAATGCCTTTATTCAGACGCACAATCCACAATGAGTGAAATGCCTGTGCAAAGAAGCAATTTCCTGGATCTCTGACAAACTACCTTGGAAATGGAAAAGAAACAACAACAAGAAACTGAGAGGACACGACTTCACTCCTGAAAAAAAAGCAGAACTCATCCTGAGGCGAAGGTCTGGGTGTTACAGTTCTGACTTAATCGGCACGAATGTGAATGAAGCAGATATTGGGAAGAATATTTTTAGATTATCTTAGCGAAACTGAAATTGGCGTTTTCTAGCCTTTTTTACGCTAAAAAGAAGGTTTGTACAAAAATATCCCCACGGTTTAGACAGCATTTCTTAATTGATTTAGAAATTGAGTTTCAGAAGTTTAGGAAAGCTGTTGGGGTTAAATAAAAACGAGAAGCTTTGCTTAAATCTTAGGCAGAGATTTGCGTACAAAAATGCTGGTCTATCTCGTTAACAAGTGATTTTCAACGATTGGAACGTTGCCAGTGCTCTTCGTCGGGTCACGACGATCAGAATGATATATGAAGTCGCAGAGTTTTGTCGAAACCCCGCGGAGAAATACGACCAAAACCATATACCCCGCCCTAAGTCCGGCACGCGTTGGTTTGAAGCATTTTGAGATACGCAGTCCTCCATGACTAGAAACTTTTCAAAGTCTCCTTTCACGTCAGAATTAGTAGGGGAACCCATATTCAATAAACATTAGTAAAAGCGAACAAAGCGTATTTTGAGGTTCTGATATAACAAAAAAAACAAAAGACATTTTGAGTTGATTATAGGCTCTATTATTGAGTATGGTACCATTTTAGAACTCAGAGTGTCAAAATTCTCCGGAGCCGACCAAGTTTGTAGCACAATTTGGCGATGCAGTTTTCGCCACAAAGTTCAAAGAACGCCAGAAATGTGATTGGACGCGACATTTATCAACGCGAAGGTTTATGCTGATTTTGGCTAAAAAAGAGGAGAGGCAACCAATGGTTCGATTCGCTACACTATATGATATCGCTGAGTAATCTTGCTGAAACCTTGTTTGGCGATCAATACTAGCATGCCTGCTCGCGTCAATAATAGATCATCCTCGCAACCCACTGCCACACGTACACTTAGGAAAAGAAAATCTGGTAATAACACACAGGAATTTGAAGCTGTCGAATCTTCTGATGCTGGCATAGTTGACTTCAATGACCTCTCAACGAGTGAGATCATACAATCTATCTTGGATAGAAATACTGATCCACTTATTGAGAGGATGGTTTTAGCTTTGAGGAACAAAATGCCGAAAGATATCGAGACTGAAAAACGTGAGAGAAGTGTTGTTCTGGTTGGGCTACCCGAGGCTCCGAGTAATCTGTCGTTGCTGGAAAAGAAAAATCATTTGGACCATAGTGTGGCTCGAGTACTGGAGATCATAAATGTCGAATGTTGGCCAAGCGAAATTTACAGGATGGGTAGGTTTACTGAGAGCAGACCTAGATTGGTAAAACTTGTGTTTCCGTCGCGATTTTTTTGGTCTCAGGCACTTCGCAACTCATATCTACTACGAAGTTCTACTATGTCCAACGTCTTCCTTCGAAAAAGCATGACACCTGCAGAGCGCGCGTTGGACTCCGAATTGCGCAAACAGGCTGGGGAGAGGAATCGAGGGAAGGCTGTATAGGAATGGGCGGTCTACAAGGGGGAATTAAAACGTATCTCTGACCTCCCTAGACGACCGCTCCAGGGAAACGCATAAGGGAGCTAGGCACTACTGATTACATTTCCTGTTTTTTGTTCAATGCACGCAGTTTGGTAAATAAAATATATTTATTACATGCTTTTCTAGTCTTCTACTCTCCAGACATTCTTTGTATAACTGAATCATGGTTGAGTCCTAGAATTTGTGACAGTGAGCTCATCTCCAATCTCCCTTATACCGTTTGCCGTTCCGACCGCCTTGGGAACAAAGGTGGGGGTGTGTGTTGCCTGATAAAAAGCGAATTTGCTGTTCAGCGCACATGCTTTGCTCAAATCATGAAAGCTGATATTCTCTGCCTAGATATTTTTTCTACTCTCTCATTTTCGCCCTTAAGGGTCATAATTGTCTATCGCCCACCGGCTTCGACGGCTAATGATGACCAAATATTGATCAATGCCTTGTCTGATCTTTGTTCTGTGCCATTGAATACGATTGTTCTGGGCGACTTCAATGCTGACGTTTTATCCCCTGTTAGACACCCACAGGTCGAGCGCCTTCTCTCCCTCTTTCAAGCCTGTGAACTTATGCAGCAAGTCGACGTCCCCACTAGGGGATCATCTGCTATTGATCTAATTTTTTGCTCTAGCGATATCATTGAATGTCTACACACACTTCCTCCCTTTGGATCATCTGATCACAACATTATAGTTTTTCGTGTTCTTTTTGCTTTCGAAAAAAAACATTGTTTTGCCTCTGCCTGACTTTTCTAATGCTGACTATTCTAAAATGAATGAAGCTCTTCTAGCTGTTGACTGGTCAAGAGTTTTTGATAGTTATACCTCGATTGATGATTTGTACTATCGATTTTGCACGATTCTATATAAAATCTTTGCGCAGTATGTACCGTTTTCCAAACGAAAACCACCTTCTGGATATCCTGCCCAAATTTGCAATTTGATCAACCAAAAAACAAGACTTTTTTTTGCCTGCCCAAATCCACAAATGGATCCTCGCTTCAGAAAAGTCTGTCTAGACTTAAATCATCACCTGAAAAGATATCTGTCTAATTACGAGCATCGCCTAGCCAGGAGGGGAAGCAAAGAATTTTTTCGTTATTACAAGTCCAAGGTCAAAGGCGGGATGAAATTACCGACTTTGTTTGATGATCTAGGAAATACTTTCAAGGATGATCAGGAGAAGGCACATGCCTTGGGGCTTTTCTTTTCAAAAGTGTTTGATCATGATGTTGATGAAGCTTTTGATGGAAGTGCTCAAGAGATTATATATATCCCTGAATCTTGTGGTGATGTACAAGCCACTGCTGAAAGCGTCTTCAAGATATTGAGTAAACTCAAATCGATGATTACAGCCACTTATGATGGAATTCCACAGATAGTATACAGAAAATGTGCTGTACCACTTAGTTTTCCGCTCTCGTACATTTATACTGTCTCTCTCCGCACTGGGGTAGTGCGGAAAATCTGGAAAGAGGCCCTTGTAACTCCAATCCCCAAGAAAGGAAATGCCAACATCATATCAAACTTTCGGCCTATAAGCATTATGCCTTCTTCTGGCAAAATTCTTGAAAAACTAATTCGGAGCAAACTCTATGAATGGCTAGATGAGAAACATGTCATCCCCATCGAACAGCATGGGTTTATCCCTGGTGGTTCCACAACGACCCTTCTCGCAGATTCGGTTTTCGATTGGTCTACAGCGCTTAATAGTGGTAGATCGGTCGATGTTATATATTTTGATTTTTCGAAAGCTTTTGACAAAGTTAACCATCAGAAACTTCTTTTCAAACTTCACAGCTATGGCATCAGAGGCTCTTTACTGCAATGGTTTTCATCCTATCTCAGGGAGAGAGGAATGACAGTCCGAGTGGGTCATAAATACTCTGAGCGATACCATTGTGGCAGTGGAGTACCACAGGGCGGTATCCTCTCCCCCTTACTTTTTTTGGTGTATGTTGCTGAGCTACCAACATGGTTGAAGACTCACCCCGAGATTAAAGTTCAGATGTTTGCTGATGACATCAAGGTCTACTTTTGCTATTCCGAAGACCAACAGACAGAAGCTTTCGAAGCGCTCTCAATGTCAATCCAAAGAATGGTAGCTTGGTCAAAAATTTGGCAAATTCCTGTCAATGCCTCCAAGACTACTGTCATGCATCTCGGTGATTCCCCTTGTGCTACCTACAGCTGCGATGGTGTTGCTCTTGAGAGCTCCTGTGTTGTAAGAGACCTCGGACTATTGATTGACAATTCACTCAGTTTTTCCTCTCATCTTGAGTTAGTAGTGAAAAAGTCAAACTCAGTCCTTTTTACAATTTTTAGAAGCATACACAGTAAAGATCCGGAAATTTTTTTGAAACTGTACAAGAGCTGCGTATTACCTCATCTGGAATACGCATCTCCTGTATGGAGCCCTTTCCTCAAAAAAAGCATTGAAAAATTGGAGAAAATACAAAAGACTTTTACTAGAATCCTTTTTTACAGATGCTTTCCAAATTCAGGATATCCGCAATCTTTACCGTCGTACCATGATCGTCTCAGAAGTTTAAATCTTCAAAGTTTGAAATATAGACGGATTGTAAGCGACCTAGTTCTTTGTTTTCGAATCTTGCGATTAGAAACAAAACTTAGAGCTAGCAAATACTGGGTTTTCAAACCTTGCAGTCAGAGAACAGGTGGGTTTTACCTTCATTATCGTAAACTTGGTAATAGAAGATTTCTGAAAACTTTCAACTCTTTTATTTGCCGTACAGCTAGATGGATATCACTTCTTCCGATAGACTTGATACAAAGTGAAAATTCTTGTGTTTTTCGAAAGAAATTAGAGAGAGTAAATGTTCTTAATATTTTGAAAATACCGGATTTTTAGGTTTCGTGATATGCTTTTGCTGTGGTTCTACGCATTAATGTGTTCGTTCGGTGTTCCCTGGGTTCTAGACTGCGGTTGTTTTATATTATGGTCAGCGCTACAATGGTTTGCAAATGTTTGTGTTGGTTAATGTCGGAGCAAAAAATACAAGAAGATAACTAGAGATGAGATTTTTTTTAACAAGTCGAGCTTGTGTTTTCTTACTAACCACTGTTAGGATTGTTTTTTTTTATTTCGATTTTACTAATTTTTTGATTGGTCGTGCTGTTCTAGCTTTCCGTTCTCGGTTCCTTGTTTAGGCGCACCTAGAGTGCATCAAATAAATAAATAAATAAATAAATGATAGATTTTTGAGCGTTCTGATCTTCCTAATCAAAAGGTCTAAAACTTATGTGAACTCTCCGATATTGCTCCGAATCAACCCATTTGGTTTGGTGTTGGTTTGGAAACTAACAAACTCGGGAACGAGTATTAGAATAAATAAGTTTTTGAAACTTTTTCCATAGTGGTGTTTGGAGCAATATTGCATGCATAAAGAATAGATTTGGTGTCATATGATTGTTTGTGCGATGTGGACATGACATTTTTTGTTTGAGTAATGCGTTTGAATTTCGCGCGCTTGCGAAAAAACGCGTCAAACTCGTAAAGCCTAACATGTTTGTCGATTTTTCTTCGAGGCTCCTCCCAAGACCTTACAAAAACGATATCCCCATTTGTTTCTACCAAAAACGAAGTCCAGTTTGTCTCCAGAACATCCGTGCCGGACTTTGGCCCCAACGGCTGTGGTCTGTCTCCGCTGCTCGTCTGTGTCTCCGCGTGCTGCGCGCTACGTCGCTACCCTGCGCGCGGGGTGCGGGCCATTTGGCTCTGGTACTTTTTTCTTCGTTATTTCGAATATAATTTTGGCAAGGCTGTATATACTGAAGCTCCTGATCTCTATCTCACGCTGACAACGTCGACAAGGTCCCAAAACTACATTTTTCGATTAGAATGAAAAATCCCGCAAAAATCTTGTTCTCGAGAATCCCTTGATTTTTCCTAGTTTAAATCTTTTCACGCGGTTTTCTGTGCATTCTATAGATATTGCTTCCGTCCATAATGTAAACAACGACCCAGTGTTTATTTCTTCGATTATGGCGGAGTTTTTGGTCGTAAAAGTGCGTTCTTCTTTACCTTGTCCTGTCAGTGCTTTCGCAGCGATTTCTCCAGCTTGGGCGATTTTTGTTTAGAACGATATGCGCAACGATCCAGACAACGTTATAGAAAACAAGAAAGTCAGTGCGGAGGTAAAAATTAAAGGACGTATCAAAAACTAAATTTAGCTTTGACGAGCATTTCGATTTAGTCAAAAATAAACTTTTCATAGCTAATTTTTTTCTTGTATCTTCTTCTGGATAATTGCTACTTCCAAAACATGGTTTTTGAAACAATCACGAAAAAGAAAATAGCTTTAATTTGCTTTCCCCCGTAATCTTGATTGCCTGATCCTGGTGTGAAAACCTGCAATTCGAAATGCCGCCAAATGAAAGATTTCATACCTCATTGCAGCATTTTCATCCGGTTTTCAGTCTTTTTTCTTCTCTGATCTTCTATAAGCAACCCTCACTTTTGACGCCATGTCTTCAGACTATCGAATGTAACACGCCTAACCCTGGTTATGACACTGGCTTTGAAAGAGGTATATGATCTAAAACGCTTTTGAAATATTTAGATCTGCTGCCTGGAGTCTGAAACCACTTACTTGGAGTTTTGCATATCGGTTGAATTATAAAACAGAAGCTGCATCAAAGCAAGAACGTCTCCGTTTGGCGTTTGAAACTTGAGTTGTCGGCCATCACTTGTGCACAAGTTTCAATCATTCCTTCATAACAGACTTTTGTATGTGTAATCTCATGTTCACTTGCAACATGGTCAAAAAGCAGAAAATCTCTACTACTTATTCAGAGGAAAAGGTATAAAAGCAAGGGGGATGCCGAAATCAAAAAGAATCTGAATTTAATCTAATTTCATATCCAGAGTAGGTCCACGTTCTTTCT